TTCACACCTGATGTTACGTAGATGCTCCACCACTGATCTTAACCCAGATGTTGCTGTCAGACTGATGAGCGCTGTAGATTCTCCCCACTTCAGAGAATCGTGTTCATGTACATGAATGTGAACATCTGGAACACATGCCCACCCTAAACACACAATAATCAATTAATAATCTGCTGTGTCATTGTGAGTATACCTGGACTACTGATAAAGACTCGTTTGGCACATTAAACCAGGACTGACTCGGTTACACGCGTTTAGAAATTCCTACAAACCAGAATAAATGCATCTGATTACAGTTGATTTTTCCATAACGGAGTAGAGAGCAGATCATTCAGCGCTCTGTCACACATGGTACAGCCTGTCCAGGTGGGTGCTGATTTGTTCTGTTTTGCTTATTCAGGGTTTTGAAGTGAAGTCATGAATCCACAGTTGTGGAGAGAGAGTGTGATAAAGAGACAGTTCTCATAGTAATCATTTGTGTTGTCATAACCTGGCTCTAACAAATAAGGAACACAGCGTTACCTCAAAATAAGCATGTTTATTAGAACCAAAAGCAGACCGTGGAACAAGTCATAAGTCTGGCGTGTGACTGTCAGTAGCATCAGTAGGTGTGAATGAGTGGACGTGATGGGATGTGAGGTGTTGAGGAGCAGAAACAAAGCAAAACGAAACCGGGTCAGAATGAATGTGAGAGCAAGAGAGGGATGGCTGAGCTTTATGGACCATCCTGGTGTATGCGCAGTAGCCTGCAGAAATGTGTGCCGTATGATGTGTTTGTGAACCTTCCTGCAGACGGCTGGTGGATCCAGAGGACGACCTGAGTGACATCCAGTCAGACTCGGTTCCGCTGGAGGTCCGTGACTGGCTGGCCTCCACCTTCACCCGGCAGAGGGGCCTGATGCTGCGGCGCATCGAAGACAAGCCGCGCTTCCGCAGCATCGTCCACGCGGTGCAGGCTGGCATCTTTGTGGAGAGGTGTCATCCTTCTGGTTTCCTTTGTTCAGCTGCTCTGTGTTCTGTGTGCAGCAGCTTCAGCCGGGCCGGCAGCACAGAGCCAACATGGAGCCGCTACAGACTGTATGCAGGCTGTGTTTGCTCTGTGCTCCGTTTGATAAGCTGCTCATTTAACAGCTGCTCCCACAGAAACTACACAGTTTTAAGGGGAATTCTTTCCATAGTAAAACAGGTTGTAACTTCAGTTATACACAACGTTTTCATGATGCGCAGGGATTTGTTTTATTTATTTATTCAACATTTTGTCGTCGTATGTGTGATTTCTGTCTGTGACAGGATGTACAGACGGACCTCCAACGTGGCCGGACTCAGTTACCCCCCAAACGTCATCACTGTGCTCAAGGTGGGAATGTGAGACCAGATGCGTGAGACATCCTCCTTCACGCTTTCATAGTGTACACATTCAACACTTGTTGTTTTTTACATAGATTTTAATGCCATGCCTTTAGTTTTACAGTCATGGTTAATGAACAGGGCTGAGAGAGCACTGAAACCAGTTCAGCAGGTCTGAAAGACGGCTGACAAGACGAGTAAAAAGAATTTCACCCATTTGTGTGTGAACAGTGGAAGCTGCAGGTTAGGGTCCACTCGAGGTGTCCCACACAGAGGAGGTGAGGACAGAGTGGCACCTGAAGGTTAGCTGCCTGAGAAAGGATGGATGGTGAGAAAGTAGTATGTCTGATAGGAGCTAAACTAGATGGCAGTTAAAGTACGACACATTCAGAGTAGGGCTGATATTTATATATATATTTANAGCTGTGCATTTAGAAAATGTTTTGCTGTCAGACCAGCTCAGCAGCCAGACCTGGTGCTCTGGTACATTCACTGTATGGTCTGGCATCGTCTTCCTGGAATAATCAGGCCTCCTGTGGTTGTACTTCCTTCCTGTGTCTCATCCCCTCATCAGTGGATAATATATGGTGCTGCTTCCTCCCTGTCCTTTGTCAGTCCGTCCTGTTTGCTCTCCTTCTGTTTGTCTCGGGTGATTCTCCTCAGCACTTCCTGGTTGTCTCTCTGTTTTTCTTCTTAAACTGAAGTTTGTCTTTTGTTACCACAACCTGCCTATCAATGAGACCAGAGTGGTTCAGACTCTAAAGCTTCGGCTAAATCAGTACAAACTTTGAGTCCAGCAGTGCTGTCCTTTAGGGTTGAAGGGTTGCAGTAGACCCGTGTTCTGAAACCTGGCTGAGCACTAAGACGTTATGGGTTCCAGACAATCAGGACGTTGATCATTACGAGTCAGAAGCGTTTTGTCCTGCTGCAGAAATATCAACTATCTGCTTGTTTAGGTTCATAAAGTCTCATGTTTGTTGTATTGAATCGTTTGGAGTCCAGCAGCTGTCTGCAGGGAGCTCTGGCCTCCGTTTCTGTCTCATGTTCGGCTTATGATTGTGTAAATAGATCTGTATTATTTCATACGCCTGGTTTGCAGTGTCTTTGTCCGTCTCTGAACCCGACCTGTGACACCATCATCCCTAATGTTGTCATCTCTGACATTCTGAGGAGGTCAGGAGGAAGGAGAGGAGGCTCAGGACCAGGCTCGTGGAGGAACCAGATGTATTCTGAAGGTTTTCCTTTTCTTTGCAGCTTCTGGATCAGTGGCTGGTCTGATGGGATCACTCAGGCTGTTAAAGCAGCTCTGTTGTAGTTACAGAGTGACTTCTACACTGGAGCTAGAGCACTGACAGTAACAGGAAGTTCAGCATCAGCAGGACCTCACAGGGTTTGTATTTTGTAGAATCAGATTCATAAATGGATCGTGAACATGTTCTTTGCTGCTGTGTTTATTCTACGCCACATCCAACGCCCGTCTGTAAACAGATTTATACACAGCGCTGAGTGGACCCAAGCCAGAGGGCGGCCGTATAGGAACCAGGCTCCGATCTGCTCTGAGGCAGCTGGTACTGACCGTGATAGCAGAAAAATGAAAGACAACAGCCAGAGAGCTGCTGTTGTGAGCTCCTGCAGGATTACGACGGCCTTGAGGGACTGAGAGCTGGAGGAGGAGGAGGAGGAGGAGGGCTGGAGAGGCCAGTGTTCCTGCTGAGGCTGGCTCCGACAGCTCAGCAGCACCTCCAGCCTCCAGAGGGACGACGAGCACTGCCAGGGTTACAGCCGCTCCAGGAACACAGCCTCTCTGCTCGTCTGCTCTCCAGGGAGACGCCGCTCTGCTCTCCGTACATCCCACCGACAGACGAGGCATTAGAGTCCGGAGCCACGATGACGGCAGCTACAGCCAGAAAGCAGGGATTTAAGAAGTGTCGGAGTGCTACCTTCAGCATCGATGGCTTCAGCTTCACCATCGGTAGGAGGCCCTGGGTTAGTGTGTGTGTTGGTGTGTGTGTGTGAGAGAGAGAGAGAGAGAGAGATAGTCTTTGTTTGCATCTACAGACGACTTTCTTTAGTTAAGGTTCATGAGAACTGATCGGTAAGGACTCCTGCTTTTGGCTCATTTTCTGCTATTTCTGACAAAACACATCTTTAAGTATTATTTCTATTTTCCTCGTCAGGTCCATAGTGTGTGTGTGTGTGTGTGTGTGTGTGTGTGTGTGTCCAGCAGTAAACACAGGCAGGTGTCATATTTTGTTAAATGACTATTACCTTTATATGTTGTTCAGGTGTGTAGCCTCAGACAGTTCAGCCTTATTCTTCTAGATGTAACCGTGACAGTGTTCAGTGGTCAGAGAGCCACGAAGCAGTTATCATTACAGCCTAATTATCTCTCTGCACACTGACACAACAAACTAATATGTGGTAAAGCCTCCATTCAGGCCACAGTGGGGACATGTGGTGCAGCAGCAGCAAAGGAGACACATGTAGGTAGCATCAGCTGACAGTAAAATAAACAGGAAGTCCTGGTTCCTCCACATGTGGATAATCACACTGTGCACAACAGCAACACTACTGCACAAATCAGAGGTCCACATTTATAATATAAATACTGGGAAAGAATCCATAGTAGAGTAATGCTGATGCTGCACACGTTGTTGTTGTTTACAAGTTTCTGTATTTATCACAAGAATCACAACCTACAGTCCTGATCCAATGTGAGGAGTTTAACATAACACACCAGCTGAAAGCAGAAAGGACACCTGCTAAACCTGCTAAAGCTGCTACAGCTGCTAAACCTGCTACAGCTGCTACAGCTGCTAAACCTGCTAAAGCTGCTA